CAGGAAGAAAGAAAGAAAGGAAGGCAGGAAGAAAGGAAGGCAGGAAGAAAGGAAGGCAGGAAGGCAGGAAGAAAGAAAGAAAGAAAGGAAGGAAGGCAGGAAGAAAGAAAGAAAGAAAGAAAGAAAGAAAGAAAGAAAGAAAGAAAGAAAGAAAGAAAGAAAGTTGCCGGGGTGGTTCCCCTCGGGGCGGCTCCAGAGCGTATTCTCGGGACTCTCCTTTCCCGAAGTCCCCGGGAAGGCAGGAAGTGGAGACGGGCTGAACAATGCCGGGCCTGGCCGGCCGGGCCGGAGTTAACCAGGAGCACACAAAGCGGCGCCGGCCGAGTGCCACCGACTTACCTGAAGAGCGCGGAGCGGCGAGCAGGACGGCGAGACTGCGCGGCGGCGGGGGGAGGCAGCGTTCGGGCCGGAGTTTGATCGGAAAAGCGAGGGTTTTGATTTTCCCTGGAGTTTGAAAGGAGTGAGTGAGGAACGCGTGGAATGAAAGTTGGTATGAAATGAACGCGACTGAGGGAGGGCACTCCCGGCTAATGTAGAGGATGGAAGAGGGTTAGGGAGGGGACTGGCCGGGGGCAGAAGGGGGAGGCGACAGAAAGGCCGAGGCGGGGTTGTGAGCAAAATCCAGAGGGGATCGGCCCTCTCCGGCTCGGGGACGTGCGCGCTCAGGGAGGGGAGGGGGGATCGTGGGGCAGCGGCCGGAAGAAAAGCCCGCAGGGGCGGGCTGTCCCACAATCGGGAGCGGAGGAAGGAAACTCCAGGCGGCCGCGAGGGAAAAGCCGGGAGCAGAGCCGAGCGGGCTCGGCTGTCGGGAGCGGAGGGGACACGGCCACCTCCAGAAAGCAGTGCGGCGGTGAGGGTCGGCAAAAGAAGTTGCGATCGCTGTTCAGGACGGCTCGGCTCCAAACGGCGGACAAGCCGCAGAAACGCCGCCGCTTGCCTGTTGTTTTCCCGGGCGTGGGGGTACGCGGACGAGAAACCAGCGCCCGCGCCGGAAGCCCCGGGGCTACAGATCATTCAGTCGCAGCCCGGGCGGTCATCTAGCAGCTGCCAGCCCCCGTGCAGTCCCCTTCGGCTGCCGGGTCAAGCGCTCTTGAGAGCCACGCTTCGGCCCTTCAGCGCGGTGATCGCAGGCCAGCACAGCCTCACGTCTAGCCCTTTGCAGCCAGGCCTGACTCACAGGCTTCTTCGGAGCTACTTCAGGAATGCGGCTTTCACCCCGCGTAGCTAAACGGCTGCAACACAAGCCAGCCCCAGCACCACTGAATTGCGTGTTTAGAGACAGTTTAACTGTTTCGAGAGCATCCGAGATAGGAAACTGTTCACGTAACACCAATGGGATGTCCTGTCTGGCTTTTCTCAAACCACTCTTCTAGGTAGTTGACTTTAAAATGACTCCCACTGTTCCGTGGGCGCTCTGTGCATCCCTTCTCCCTTTCTGCCTTCTCTTCCCAGACTTCCCTCATCTGCAGAGCACTTTCCATGACCAACCCATCGCTGCACTGAAAATATACATTCACACCTAACTGGCACGGCAGGCAAAGTAGGCAGTCCCAGCTGCGTAGCAGTCATTTGTCCTGTCATGCCTGCCAGACTTGCCTTGGGGCAGGTTTGAATTAGATCTGACAGCTGGTCTAGTTCACTACACAGTTTCTCTTTTCCTATCTCATCAATCAACTTCACCTCTTAAGCTAGCCTCCTAACACATCTATTTCTGAATCTTCAACCCTCCTTACTAGCCCACCGTGCTCACAGCGATCCAGAGGAGAGACACTGAGTTGTTTTCCTGAATACCTATTTTATCATCTCTCCATTCTTTGCCAACACTGCTCATCTCTTCTTCGCAGCAGCAGATACACAGCACATCGTCACCATTAAGTCCCAAAGGTCCTTCTTGGTCTTTTACAAACGTTCCTTTCTCAATGGTCATTTCTGATCAGTGGATCAGTCTTCCACCATGCTGATCTTCTTTCTTCTGATTTTACATTTGGACACGGATCATTGTTAACACCTGAGAAAGCAGGATCATAGTCAAAAACAAGCCAAGGGAATTTACCTAATTCTCCTTCAAGCAGTATTACAGTGGAGCACTTTTTCTCTGCCTGGTTGTTTCTATCTCATTTTTAATTATTTGAATTAACTTAAAACAAAACAAAACAAAACAATCTACTTCATTTATTCGCGCAGAAATATCCCTCCCAACTTCAAACTCCATTATGCATCTCATGAGACCTAAAGAAAATTTTCTTTGGACTATTGAGATAAAGCGCTATCATACTAATTGGTTTGCCCAGCTCCTTCCTAATGTGCTCCTACTTGTCTGCCTCTGTTGTTTCTTGTGTCCTAAGTTTTATTTAGAACATTTTAAGGAAGAATTCATCATTGTGTGCCAGATGAGCCCCACATCTTATTCAGTGGGGCTGCTCTCCAGCATCTCATTCTCCAGTCGGTGTGGAAAAAGGCATACACCAGCCCAAGGAAAAAACTGAATGACGCAATGGACTGTTAAAGACTGTTCTAAGAGCAGTGGATGCAGGGACACTTTAAGAGCACTGAGATATACATTTAGTAAATCAATGGAATCAAGTGAATTTAGTGAATCAAGACAATGTGCAGAGGCGAAAGCCATTTAAATGGCCTTGCAATGTTGCTGCCTGGCGTGTCATGCAGCTGCTCCTATATCTGAGTTGGGCCACTGAAGAACATCAAAATATAAAGCAGGTGGATCGGGCTATTAAAATTGAAGTGGTTCAGGAAGATCTCCACTGGCAACATAAGGGTGAATTTTTTATAGCTTGATCGGTCCACCATACGTCAGGCCACCTAGCAAAAGATGCAACATACAATGGGCTCAAACATGCAAATGTTCGAGTGGAAGACTTGACCACGGACACTAGTGCACAGGTTATCCACAAATGCACAATGTGCTTCAATCAAGGAAGCCAAGTGGATAAAGCCTCTCTGGTATGTAGAACAATGGCTGAAATATAAATACGGGGTGAGCTGATGGATATCACACTTCCAACAAATCTGATACAGTAAGCACCACATGCTTACAGTGGTGGAGGTAACCACCAGGTGGCTAGAAGCAAATCCTACGCCCCATGCCACTATCCAAAACACTATCCTGGGCCTTGAGAAGCAAGACTTACAGCTAAAGGCACCCAAGAAAGAACTGACTGAGGCAGTGTAAAGAGAACTTCTCTCCCAGAAGAGAGCAACTTCTCTTTACCCCGAGGGCTATTGCTGTTCTGTTACTGTTTCTGCTCAGAAGGAAAGACAAAAGCTGTCCCTAAGTCACTTGACCTCCCCTTTTGATCTTCTGGCTCATTTCTGCTCCCAGCCGTATTGTATCATCTTGCTTAGAGTAAGGCCTTTGGCTTTTCGGACTCTCTCTCAATTTATTTGGTTTGTTAACTTCAATTGTATTATATTGTATTATAGTGTGCTATCTTGCATTCTGATATCTTCTTTAGTAAATGAGTGTCTTTCTCCTCAGGTTGTTGCTGCTGCTTTTTTTTTAGGCCCATCTCTCTACCCTTTTCCCTTTTCCCTTCCCTGCGGCATAGGTCCCCCTGCCTCACTACTCATGGAACCGCGCCAAAACAGCCTGTAAACCGTTGACATCCTATCACACCAGCCCATGGAAAAAACTGAATGATACAATGGACTGTGAAAGACTACTCTGGGAGCAATGGGTACTGGGACACTTTGAGAGCGTTAAGGTACACATTTAGCAAAGGCCGCTTTGTTAGTTAACACTAGAGGATCTGCCAATTGAGCTGACACTGCCTAATCAGAACCCCTATGTGCTGTAGAAACAGATAAAGTTCCCCCAGTGCACATGATAAAGAGCATGCTGGGGAAAATAATCCGAGTTATTCCTGTTTTGGGCAAGCCTATCCGTGGGACTACTTTGCTCAAGGACTGGGGTGGATGTTGTGGGTAACATGGTAGGATGGGGAATTCTGATGTGTATCTCGGGGGGATTTGATTCTGGGGGGAGAACACACAGTGGTAGTGCCTCCTATTTATTTCCATGGAAACTACAACAGACATGGAGAGCCCAACGTGTGACAGAGCTACAGAACAGTATTTTTCAACATAGTCACCACCATTAGCCATGCATCTTTGCCAGCCACGAACGAGAGTGCCGCACGTGTAAAAATCTGCACCAGCAGAGGTGATCCACTGTTGCCGTCACCGCTGAAATGCACCGCCCCGCCCTTCACTGCACTAACATCCACTATCTGTTATTTATAAATGCTCAGGAAGCGTCGATGAATGTCATCGGATGCAATTTCTTCTGCACGGAGAAATTCAATTCCACGTCTTTGCTTCACACGCGCTTGCATGTCTGATGCCATTTTGCCAGACTGCCCCTAAGCTGTCATCTGTCACACAGCAACAAAATGAAACGGAATATTAGCAGGAAGGTTCAGCCTCTACTGCCATGCCACCAACATCTGCCTTAGACATTATGGGCAGATAAAGTAGGGGGCGTTACTTTTGAAGAGGCCTTCATGTGTTAATTGCTATATAATACCGTATGTCATCACCAGTGTGGTTGCTGTATCAATATTACTCCAGTAAGTTACACAGATTAACAAAGGATGAACCTTGATGGAACCGAGCAAGGGTGGTGGTGATTAACCAGGGTACTTTGGCAAGTGCAGGACCGGAAAGCATGATGTAAACGGTATGGAATAAGCGTGGATATTGTCCTGGTTTCGGCTGTGATAGTCACCTGCCATTACTCAGGTGACTGGCTGGGCATCAGTCAGCAGGTGGTGAGCAACTGCACTGCGCATCATTTCCTAGACACACACACACAAGCTGCTCCAAAAGTAATGCCTCCTAACTTATTACATTGGCCCACAGCATCAGAGTCTGTAGTTCTCCAGTCCACCAGAAGTGGATTTGCTCCGTGTTTTGTACCAGATCATTGCGTAAGACAAACCAGAGATCACACATGCAGTAGGCATATCCTGAATTCCAAAACAGAGGATTCAACTTCACGCACTTTCCCTCTGCATCTCTAGTGGAGCTTCTTGTGATACAGCAGTGGGTGAAAAGCCTAAAGTACATGCTTGGCCTCTCTATTCCTTTTAATTTCTTACAGCTTTTCAAGCTCTATGACTGCTTAAAGGAATTTCATTCCAACTCTCAGTGCTTCAGGTAGGACAACGAGAGTCTAAGAAATTCTGTTGCCTGAGGTAACAGAAAGTTTCAGGATAATTTACCCCCATCAGGCAGTAAGAGACTTTCAGGGACGGTCATTGGCACCATACCAAGAAAGATCACTAAGATTTGGAGAAAATTCTGAGGCAAGGTGTGTCTGCTGATGTCTTGTAAGTAGTGACACACAAGTTGAAGTTTGCCCAGATTGCCCCCTGCTACTGAAGCTAGTTTATCAACAGCCCTTTTGCACAAAGCAGCACCCCTGTATGGAGTGGTTCTTAGAAATGCAGACTTGTACTAAACACATCATCAAGGGAGTATCAACACATTGATACTCTCCCCTCCCACAGCAACCTGTCTCTTTCCCCAGAACTAAGATCCAAGGCTAAAGCCCATGGCAAGGCAAGCAAAAGCATTTGTTCATACTCTGGTCCAGCCAAAGCACCTTGCTAGAAGTGGCTGCAGTAAAGATGATACTCAGCTGTGCCCCTGCAAAAACTTTATTGAGTATGTAGATGCATGATTCATCATTTGTCTGGAAGCAGTAGGATTAGCTCTTTCCATGGCCATTTTCTCTCTTGACATGAGGTCTAAAGAAGTGGGAAGAGTAGCCCTATTGCAACGGGAGAAACATACCTTTCATTCCCAGAGGTCAATTGCCAGAGAAAATACCAGTATTCACTTTACAGGTTCCATTTCACGTTTTCAGCTGATGTCTGAAATGAAAGCTGCTTTAACCACTCCGTAGAAATCCATCTTATTGCAACTGTGACTCCACCAAGCCCTCTACGTACATTTTATGAGCTGGGCAAAAAAAACCGGATGAGGTTTAACAAAAGCAAGTGTAGAGTCTTGCATCTGGGGAGGAATAATTCCATGCACCAGTACAGGTTGGGGGATGACCTGCTGGAGGGGAGCTCTGCGGAGAGGGACCTGGGTGTCCTGGTGGACGACAGGTTGGCCATGAGCCAGCAGTGTGCCCTTGTGGCCAAGAGGGCCAATGGCATCCTGGGATGCATTAAAAAGAGCGTGGCCAGCAGGTCGAGGGAGGTGATCCTCCCCCTCTACTCTGCCCTGGTAAGGCTTCATCTGGAGTACTGCGTCCAGTTCTGGGCTCCCCAGTACAAAAAAGACAGGGATCTCTTGGAAAGAGTCCAGTGGAGGGCCACAAAGATGGTGAAGGGCCTGGAGCATCTCTCTTATGAAGAAAGGCTGAGTGAACTGGGTCTGTTCAGCCTTGAGAAAAGAAGACTGAGAGGGGACCTGATCCAGGTCTATAAATATCTAAGGTGTGGGGGGCAGAATGAATGGAGACAGGACAAGGGAAAACGGCCGGAAACTGCAGCACAGAAAGTTCCGCACAAATATGCGCAAGAACTTCTTTACAGTGAGGGTGACGGAGCACTGGAACAGGCTGCCCAGGGAGGTGGTGGAGTCTCCTTCTCTGGAGATGTTCAAGACCTGTCTGGATGCCTACCTGTGCGACCTGCTGTAGGGAACCTGCTTTGGCAGGGGGGTTGGAGTTGATGATCTCTGAAGGTCCCTTCCAACCCCTACAATTCTGTGATTCTGTGATTAATAGGACTATGGAACCCAAAGAGTTACAGCTCTTCTCCATTCCAGCCTGGGAATGGAAGGAGAGCTGAGAAGGAAAAATGAACCAAGATTTCATGCTGCAATCCAGTTAACCATTTTTTTTCTGTTTAGCTTGAGTAGTCACTCAGTCACATATAGATGATTCTTCAGATTTCCGCCTTGGCAACTTTCAAGGCCAATGTGTCTTTGGATTAAAAGAAAATGGTAGTTTGGGCTCTCATCTAGAGGAATACAGGGCAGGTGGAACATATGGACAACGCTAAGCTAAATCATTTGCCAACTCAAATATTCCCCTAACAATGCTACAAGAATAAAGTTACCATTGTAATAAAGAGCTAGTAATTTAAGGCATGTACAGGGCTTAAAGCCATTAAACCTACACAGAAGATGCTAATAAGATGAGAACAAAGTAAAAGTAAGTAAGGACAGAGAAGGAAGAAGTGCTCAGAGTCTTTCCTACTGGACATAATTGAGGAGTGTACCCGTTTCCTCTCATACCTCGATTAGCCAGGGCTGTTCAGGGCCCATCTAGATGCTAACCCCTCTCCAGGGACTCCACTCTAGCACCAGATTAGAGAGGTTCTATCTTGACGCACATAAATAGTCCATTGCAGCTCAAACAGGCAGCTCATAGCAGCCAACCGGCCCGTTTCCCAGCTTAGCAGGAGTCAGTACTCCCACGAATGAAGGAATTGTCTAAAAAGACTGTCTGCTTTTCATTACGTTAATAGATCTCAGGAGTGCTTTCTGTAAAATCCAAATAAGCCAAATTCAGTCTTCCGGACAGTTTACTTCAGTTCAGGTATAAGCTGAGACCAACTAATGTCTGTTCCTAAGTTTTCATCCTCAAGACCAGGAAAGCTGATATCTAAAAGGATTTTGCTCAAACTGTCATTCATGGTGTCCAAAATCAGGCCCTCCATGAGCGATCGGTTTTCAGTAAAACTAGAGGCTGGTAGTTCAAGGGGCAACTGCTTACTAGATTTGTGAATAAAAGATGGAGAGCTCGTGAGGGGGCCGTGCGCTGTGTCGTTGGATTCTGTATTGAGCAGTTCCCAAGAGGACTCGGGGAGAGCATTTTTAAGGGGCGTGCTGTTAAAAGCCAGCAAGTCTTGGTTCTCCTGGAAGGCTGTGATCGGCAGCTGAATGGTTCTCACTGGACTGAAATCCAGCTCATTACCTCTCTTGGCTGACGATGCAGACTTCCAGGGGTCAAGGCCCCCTAGTGGGGGGGTAGTAGTCGCTGCTTTGCAGGGAGTGGAAGAAACTGGCAACTTGTTGAACATCTCTTTGACTGGTGTTTTAAAAGGCCCCTCTTCCTCCTGCAGGCATCTCAGCTGTGATACATTCTCTAGAGGCTGGTTTTCCTGCAGTAAGGGGAGGTCTGCCCCTAACTGGAAAGGATCAAATTCATTGCTCTCTGGAAAGATGACGACAGGCTCTTCTGAGCAAGGCAGTGCTAGGTGTTGTTTCCTTCTGGATCTGCTCATTTCCCGCCTCTCACATCTCTTTATAACTAATGTGTCAGAAACACCCTTAGATGGTGACTTCAGTATAGTGAAACATTTCTTCTCTGTCATGGCTGAGGCTGGGACAAACAAGTCTGGCTCTTCCTTTACAGTTATGGTTGAAGCAAAAGGGGACAGCCAGTCCCCCAGCTGTGAGCTTTCCTCTTCCTTAATGCAGAGTGCCTCAGGGAAAGAAGATGATTCCTCACCAAGCTGACAGTTGTTCTCCTTCAGACAATGTGTTGGGGAAAAAAATCCTTCATCAAATTGGCTCTCCTCCTTTGCCGCAGCTATGGGTAAAGAGGATGACTCTTCAATAGAGAGCGACATCTACAAAAAAAAAAACCAACAAAAACAAGCAACATGCAGTCAGTAAACAAGAATCTTAACCACTCATAATGCGAATGACAGTGGAAGATAAAAAAAAAAAAAAGACCAGCAGCTATGGACAGCAGGACAAGTAAAAGGAGGATCTTCATAGTGAGGCAGCAATAACAACAGCTAGACATTGATCTGCCTTTGAAATTGATACAGAGATATCACAATGGGAAGGATTTCAGCTACTTGTCTTGAAGTTACACCCTTTAGAGTATATCTGCTATGAGCAGCTTCGAGGACAGGCAGGTGAACATTTCTGTGTTTGATCCTCCTTACACTATTTATGTATGCAATAACAAAAAGTGTGATGGCATACTTCATAGAAATGAAGAAAAAAATCAAATAAGAATATTAAAATTATCAAAAGAAAAACGCACAGGGGAAAAGAAATCATAGGAGGAGAGAATGTAAATGAGCAGATGCATAAAGGAAAACAGGATCAATATTAGAAAGAATGGAACGAGAAGAAGCCTAACAATGCTTGTGTGCCTGAGACAGTCCTTGAGACACGAAGAGAAAGATCTGTTCGATTACATTTTTTCTTCAGCTCAGAACACCAAGGAACTCTGCAAAATTAGCAAAAAGCATTTATTAGAAGCCTCTAAGATGTTCAACTTGTAAATAGATGCTCTTTCAGAAGCAATGCCTTATAACACAGCTTCCTCTTTAGAGCTATAAAAAAGTATCTGAGTGTTTCAGGGGCAGAAGAAAGCCATTTCCTCTAGTCCTATTTGTTTTCATCTGAGTGGGGAAGAAACATGGTCTTGACTTTTCAATCCAGAGTACCCACTCCTCTAGTGAATTAAATTAACCTATGTTAATACATACTGCTGTATGTTATACAGCAATTCAACCAGCAGGTATAGTCACAATACAGACAGAAAAGGAAAAGCAAGAATTGTCACCTAGCCAGAAGCTCACATGCTTGGAGGACCCAGTGAAGATGCATAAAAGAACCACATGAAAAACACAATCCATGGAAGAAAATAGCTATGGAGAAAACAAACCATACAAAACACATACACTCATTCCACCAGTCCCCTACAAAGAAGGAAAAAAACAGAAACAAAGAAAACAACCTTTGGAGCAATGCGCACACGTTTATTGCTCCGGAAGGTCTCTGAGCTGTTGTGGGATGCTCCCTGTACCGTAGATAGAGGAACCTTCAAAGAAGGCTGCAAGACGAGAGGCTGACTCATTGGAAACTGGATCGGAACAAGGTAGGAGTTGATGCGAGGAAGCAAAGGCTTCATCTTTCGTCCTGGAAGAGAAAAGAATAGATTTGCTAGCCTCCTACCCTTCTTTCACTGCATATGGAGAACCAGACACCTAACCGTAAGTGCTTCTAAATAATTCCAGATAACCATTTGGTCAATTACTTTCATTTGCCTTCTTTGCTAGTTTTGAGGATACAAATCCCAAGCCAGAAGCTTTGATGAAGAGCAAAATATAACCTTCCTTAAGGTCCTAGACCTCAAACTGGGGCAAGCTCTGTTGTCACTCGGTTTGAACAGCTAGTTCCCTCCATCTTTCTATCACATCCTCTCTCAGAGAGGACAGCACTACTTTTAGCCCCAATGCTGAGGGATGGGAACAGCTGTAGGAAGCCTTTAAGCAGGCAAATCTGGATAACAATTAACATTTTTATTCCTATGGCAATCTGTGAAAGCACCTGAAATTTATGGGAATTATTCTTTTTAGTCTAGCCTGAAGTAAACACTCACGTGCATTTTGGGATTCAGTTTTGCTGCTATTGTTGCTTCCCATGTTCTTCTGGGGATCTGAAACATGTTGCTTTTGCTGCTGTAAACATTGTGAAATAAGAAAGAGAAGAGAGAAGAATAAAAGAATTCATCTTTGTTCTGCTGCCTTGTTCAGAACTGCAAATCAGAAGCCTGTACTGAGCTAATAGAAACAGCAGTCGTAGAGCCAGCATGAGTGCTGGGTGTTATCTCTGTGATACTTGCTGTTTTACAGCTATGCCATCTCATGGCTAACTACTAAAAATTCACACAGAAACAGAAATGGTACAACAGAGCTGCTCCAACAACAGTCTGCAGTAGAGCTGACCTTGTTTGGGTGTCCTCAATGCAGAAATGTGATTAGCATACATTTATTTGTGTATTTGATCTCTATACAAACCATAGACCTGAAAATCAAGCAAAGGCACAGGAGGAGCCAATGGTCTAAGCAGAAGGAATGAAGCCCAGGGCTGTAGTGGTGACAAATAGTGTCTGATTAATTCATTGAAAATCCATCACTGTTAAAACTGCTGAGTTCAAGAGACAGCAAACAGGTTTATCCTTCACAGTACAGCTGGTTTCCAGAAGTTAAAAAGGAGTACAGAGAGATCCTATTCTTCTTGATTCTGAGACTCAGAACAGGCTGGGACTGCTTCCTCAGAGGTGGAGGTTGTACCTGAAACCCACTGTCTCAGCTCTCTCTGAAGTCTCAGAAAGCTGCCCACTGCAGCCTATTTTAGCAGTAGACTTCTAGTTGCTCAAAACTGTACAGCTCTTGCCAGCTGTAGACAGGACATATAACTTGAAGGTAATTAGCTTGACTCCATTCCCCAAAAATGGGTGTACACAGAGCTCTACAATCATGTGCAGCAGTGATTCTGTCCCCCTCCCCACATCTCTTATCTTTTTCTAGCAAGAGGAAATTAGAAGTCCAAGGCCCAGGCCAGAGTCTTACTGATTCAGAGTGCTCAGACGATGTTGACCCCAAGTCCAGCGGCTAGTGGCAGCAAGGCAGTGAGAAGGAGAAAAATAAGAGGAAATTACCAACAATAAAAAGGGACAAATTAATCTAGCATAATCTGAGCAAACCAGAGAATGAATCTGCCCTCCCATTGCACAAAACATAGAAGAGACTAAAAACATCTTTAAAAAAATCTGAAAAATTTCCTAGATAGGGAAATCCAGCTGGGACAGAACAATTCTATCTTGTGAGTGTCTAGTCAAACAACAGAGGAAATGCTGGTCTAAGTCAGTGGAAAGCTTCTCATTAGAACTTTGCCACAGTCCTATGGAAACAGGTCGAACAAGCTAATACATTTGGCGTGATACCTGAAGAATGAATGCATCCCAAAGAAGCTCCAGCAGCAAAAGCCACAGCACCCTTTTCTTTTTTCCTCCAAATACAGAGATCATCTATTTTTCAGGAGAAGCAACTGAATTTAGCTTCTACATAGAGGCTGATGCCACTGAATATTAACTTTCCTTTCAAATTAAAGTGCATCTGTTTAGTGTGGCAATTAGGGACTGGATAGCTGTCCCAGTTTCTTTGCATGAAGCATTCACCTTAAACACTTGGTCCAATGTTAGGCAACGGTTGGCATCAGGGTGAATAGTCCAGAATGAGATTTTACCATTAGCAGATGTCTCACGGACAAACATATCATGTAGGGACAGGTTATGCCGAATAGAATTCTGTGGAGAAAGGAACAAGGAAGAAGTTTAAAAACAGCATTTTTGTTATCAGCACAGAAAGGTCTATCTCAAACGTGACTGTCTAGCAGGAAGATTCCATTCTAAAGCTCAAAAGTGGACGTTATTATTCAGTGCAAACCCAGCCAACTCTACCATTAAGTCTCTTATTCTCTTTATACACAAGATCCTCCTTCTTACTTCAGTGATCAAATATCCCACCACTTTGCCTAAATGGAACGAGAAAAAGAATTAAAAAATTCAAATGTGGAACATTTGAAAGGAGAGGATATTTGGGGTGGGGTTTTAAATTAATTTCAATCTTGCTCTGCAGGCTGGGAAACAACTTTTCATTTTCAGCTGGAATGCTTTCACAGGTTTCACCTGGTGGCCAACTGGAAATTGAGGGCCTGCTTGTTACCTTCCAACCTGGCTTAGCCACATGCTTAAAATATGGGAAATGATCCTCAATCCAGGTATAGATGTCTTTCAGAGTCATACGCTTCCTCTCAGTGCTGTTGATGGCAAACTGGATCATGGCCATGTAGGAGTATGGAGGTCGTTCTGATACTGAATCCTGCCATGAGGAGGAGGGAATGGCAACAGCAGCAGAATTCTCAGTCTGAGAGACAGAAGAAACAATGTATGAGTGCTTGAATAGTTGACAAGGGCTGGATATTCCATGTACTGCTATTTAAATTGGTAAAGGGAGTGCTCAGATTATTTAGAGATTGTCACGTCTAGTTCTTGCAAGTCTTCTAATACAGATGGATTGCATCCTCATCAAAAGTTTTAGCGTATACTGTTGTCCTCTCCTACTTACCTTGATTCTTCCCCGTAGTGGCATCTGGTTCTCTTTCTCCGTGCCTTGCTTCACAGAACAGGGAGTTAGTCCATCAGTTCTCATCTTCCCCAGCCACTGGATGTTAGTGAGACTATTATCCAGCACAGAGCTCGTTGTCTCACCACTGCCTGTTGGGAAAACAAGCCCAAAGCTCTGCTTATTTACAAGTGTCTCTTCTCTTCCTTCATCTCAAGTGCCAAAAGGAAAGTAATAACAGATACTTTTTGAAAGGGTATCCCTGAATCAGGATAGGAATAAGATGGTATTGCAAAGCTAAAGCTTCTCGTTCATATACCTTGAGTTCCTGAAAAAAGCTGTACCATTAAAAACAAAACAAAAACTAAAACAAACAAATCATAACATTCAAACCAAATGATTGTTCTCAACCAAAACAGGAAAGTTGACTCCAGCACTTTGAGAATTCAAGCATTTTTAGCTAAAGGATTAATTAAGTAAACAAAAGTCAAGGAAAGTGGCATAAACTCCAACCTGGCACATAACCCAAGTAGCAGTCAAAAATTCTCCATGGTTTTGAACATCAACAGTAGAAAACTAATTTTTTTTTTTTTTTTTTTTTTTTATGGTGGGGTTGTTTTCAGTAATACAGTTACTGGAGCTATCTATTGGTTCCTCTCAGATAGCAGTAGCCTGTGGGATAAGATTTGCTGTAGCCCAAATCTATATAGCTGTTTTAAATTCCAAATACAAATATGATCTGAGAAGCAAGTCAAAGTAAAATCAATCCAATTTCGAACATTTGCCCACCAGCTTCAAGAGACAGCCAAGAAGGAAACACTTGCTACCCAATTATAAAAGGGTCTGAATCATTTCTCTTTCAAAGGTCTAGGCCCCCTTTTGTCACTGCCTAAGGCACTCCATTCATGAGTCCTTTGCCTCATGTTTTGTTCTTCTAGACTAGAATTTTTATCCAGTACAGAAATTTTGCTTTTTTGTTTTGTTTTGTTTTGTTTTCAAATGCCAGGACTGTTTCTTTCAAAGTATATCCATCAAGATCCCTCAGATTCCATTACACATGCACAGCTATTTTGTAGTTAATTGAATAACTTTCACTGCTGCATAGTGAGATCCAAGTACTATGCTCATTGTCCCAGTTTGCATCCCTTTATCTTTCAGAAGGAGAAAAGGGTAAGGGTTACATACTGTTTTCCGGTTTCTGTGCAAATGAAGAATCAATTCCTGAATGCCAGTCCATTGATCCACCTGCAATTTCAGGTGTCTGTGAAATATTCTTCTCTCTTACTTGACTATTCGAAGACCTAGTCACTGTGCCAGGTTTCTCCACTGAGGGAAGGTGCTGTGATAGTATCAAACCTGCTGAACGAGAAGTTCCCCCACTGCTAATGAGAATGAACTTATTGGGCCCATTGTTGCCACACTCTTTTCCTTTTGCTGTCAGGGCCTCTATGATGCTTTGGATATCTGCATTTGTAGGGATGGCCACCACTTGTGTGTTGGGCATGGTAGGATGGTTCATTATCTTTATTCCCGCTGGAAATTTCTGCAGGCCACAGTCTATTTTGTCTCTGCATTGGCTGTCCTTTTGGTCCTCCTGGCTGTGCTCCTGCTTAGGTGTCTTTTCATCGTGACCACTGTTCTCATCTCTACCTGAAGTACTGGATACCTCCTTCTGTAGAAGGGTCAGTTTCCTTCTTTTGAGAATTAAGGGCCTGCGAGGGCTGGTCCTCATTATTTATCTGAACAGTTACTCTCCATTGAAAATGAGAGGAACAAGTCCTGCAAAACAAAAGATACAACATAAGTGCACAGTAGACAGTAGGAATAGATAAAAGAGGTCAGCAAATACATTGCAGGTCTTTCACAGCACACATGTTCTCAGCAATTTCCATGCTGCTAGAAAACAGAGAAAGAAAAACAAAAATGAAAGTTTGTAACAAGATTGACTAGGAAAATATACTTTACCTCTTTTATCAACAGCTTGTGGAAGCATGATATGAGAAATATTTGCAGAGTAAATAGTTGCATCAGAAGCTGAGATCCATGATGTATGTAATAACAAGGAAAGCACGTATATCTGTATATCTAAAGGCTGGGAAAGATCTGGAACTCTTCAGTCTAGAGAAGAGAAGGCTGAGAGGGGATCTCAACTATTTATAAATAGTTATAAAAACTATAATATTTATAAAGTAAAGTGCAGGGGTGAAGTTGATGGGGGTAGCCTCTTTGGTGGCAAGCAACAATAGAATAAGGGTCAATGGGCAGAAACTGGAACAACAGGAAGTTCTATGCTAATAGAAAGAACTTGTTTACTGTCAGAGTGATGCAGCACTGGAACAGGCTTCCCAGAGCTGTTGTGGACTCTCCTTCTCTGGAGATATTCAAGACCTGTCTGGATGTCTACCTGTATGAGGAACCTGCTTTAACAGGGAGGTTGGACTTGATCTTCAGAGGTCACTTCTAACCCCTACAATTCCATGGATCTATGATACCATTTTGTTTTTCTTCACAATTATTCCTTAGCTCTGTATTTATCTACCACCTCTAATTTCTCAGACCTAGAGAAATAGTTTCCTCATTCTAGTCAGCTGTTTATAAATATCTGAAGTATAGGAGTCAAATCAGTGGGGACAAACTTTTATCAGCAATAGAACAAGGGGCAACAGGCAGAAACCAGAACATAGGAAGTTCCAGGCTAACACAAGGAAGAATTTCTCTACTGTGAGAATGATGGCACATTGGAACAGGCTGCACAGAGAGGCTGTGGAGTCTCCTTCTCTGGGGATATTCAAAACCCATCTGGATGCTTCCCTGCGTGAGCCACTGTAGGGAACCTACTTTAGCAGGGAGGTTGGACTCGATGATCTCTAGATGTTCCCTCCAGCCTCTACAATTCTGTGGTATCTGCTTTACAGATGTTAATACTTAGCTGTGAAGTGACTTCGCCACACTAGCCAGTAAGCTGGAGGGGTGAGAAACCAGAACACAGAAATACCACTCTGCTGTAAGCAACAGATCACAACCTAAAAAAAAAATACATGGATTTAAGAGCTGGCAAAAGATGCGGGAAGCAGAAATTGCCCTGATCATTAGAAGTATACAATACTTCTAACACAGAAGATAGGCACTTCAAAATAAAGGCAAAGTAAGTGCTTTAGTCACTTCTGTAGATCTGAGTAGCACTAGATAGATTCATGATAGAGCAGTAAACAATTTAAATTTCAAATTTTTGCGTGACAGATAATTTAGATTATATAGTGGAAGGTACTGCTTTCAGGGTAAAAAGCTGAGAACATCTTCTGAGAACAATACTTATAAATATAATGTCATTTAAGAATTAGATGTAGAGACATTGCCTCTTGCAGCAAGCCACTGGAGAAAAGAAAAAAAAGTTGCACTTATTGTTATCATTGGGGAAGGTGGGCAGAACAAAAACGAACAATGAAAAAGGCATTTTACATTAGTAGTTTTGACTGGCTTTACAAAAAAAAAAAAAAAAAAAAAAAAAAAACTCGCAGTAAGAAACACCTGCAAAGACACAAAATGGAAAACGTCCATCAGATGAACTGCTCTGTGAGAAGGAATAAGTGGGTTCAGAGGCTGCACAGCAGCTGAAGGCCAGAAACAGAAACATACACGCAGGCTGTAGCATTCAGGCACACGCAGAGCCTTTTGCAAGGTTCTCTGCTCACTTACAGAAAGGTCTCCTTAAGACAACAACGGAGGCATAACTATCAGCCAGCCCCCAGGAAACCGCACTTCCTAGAGGAACAAATAATTTCCTAAACAGGCCAAACGCTGTTTTCAGCAGCGGGGAGTAACACCAGAAGCACACAACTCCATTGAGCTATGAGAACGAAGCAAAAACCAGGATACTGAAGAGCTAAGCAAGTACCCCCTCAAGCCTACATCACCCACTCCAAACCTCAACCCTGACCTCCTGGATTGCCGGGTGCTGCCAACCCCGACGCCCTCGCCAGTGAATCCCGCCCGCTCTCCCAGGATCCCTCCATCTAGGCATTTGCCTCCGAACTCTCAAAGGAGATCTCACTAGGCAACCCAGCTCCTCACGGGGAACGCCCAAGCAACGGGAGATCACAGCACGACAAGGAATGAACGCTGAGCCTTGATCACAACTCACCCCCTCCCCAGCCGAGCAGGAGACGCGCAAGGCAAAGTTAGCTTCAGGACTTCCGGTCGCGGTCACCGTCCTCCCCATCCGCCCCCAGTAGCGATCGTTTCCCTGTTTGAATTTGGCGCCTGGCGGTTCCTTGGTATCACGTGCCGGCCCGGACCAGTGAAACGCAGCGGTAGGCGGGGCGAAGCGAGGTGGACCAATGGGTGGTTGCTAAGTAGCATAGGGATCTGCCTGGCCGCCTGTGAAGAGCCTGGTTTGGGTGGTCTGGTGGAGGAGGTCGTTATTAAGTTTGTTGGTGGGTCATCTGTTTCAGTAGAAGTTATCTGGCCTGAGCCTCTGAGACTTTAGCTTTACTGCCAAGTTTGGTTCTTAGTGTGTGCGTTTGTGTTCGCTGCGTTCGTGGAAGGAAAGAGAAGCTTCAGCGGCCGTCTCAGAGATCTCCAGAAAAGAGCATCTGAACTTCACTGGTTTGTGAACATTAAGGCTGTATCTCAAAACCTTATGGGATCTCCTAAAGGGGCTGTTAAGTTGTTTTGATAATGTGTAGTAAGCAGTTAAGATGTTATGTAGCTTTATATCTTTAACGAGAAAATGTACTTATTGCAAGGTATTTTCTTTGAAATTGCTCACCTGTGTCAATCTGCTTCTAAATGGAAAAAACAATCTGAAGTTTTGAATTCAGTTTTGAACATAGCTGGTTCTATATTTTTGTATTTTGCTCAGGTCTTATCAAATATGGATGACTTTCAAATGATTTCTGGAGTGTTTTTATGGAAAAAATTCCTATGAGTTTTTTTTTTTATGGCTTGTGTATTTAAAGTATGCATTTTCATAAGGAAATAATATCTTCTGCAATGTTATGCCTTGTTCAAAACGCTACTTCAGGACTCCTTTTGCTGCTTAGACACTTCTACCTTGTTTGTATGGTTGTATACCACAATGTATTTGGCTATGCCTTCTTGAAGCTTTAGAGCACTTAACTACTCATTCTACTATGTATGTGCTAAATTTGATTAAAAGATGTAAAAACTACTGGTAAGTAACAGTCTATATAGAGGTGTGTATGCAATGTTACTGTATTTGTGTTTTGCTCAAAAACTTTATTTGAGGTTTCCAAATAATTGTTGAAGTCCATTTCTGTTTATCTTCAACAGATTTGAGGGTGCTTGACCATCTTCTCAGAGTGCTTTCCTCCTCCTCCAGTTGGTTCTAGCAAGCATCATGAGGTTTCAAATTCATTTTGTAATACTGTCTGATGCCTCCAAAAAAGAAGTGTACCCGCAAAACTAGAAAGGCAGAGCTGGTATTCCTTGAGAGGCCATGGGAGGGACCCATCCATTGCTGTGAAACTCCGCTGTATGTGGCTGAAAATCCAGTACGTGTTTCTACAAAGCCTGTAGACCAGAACACCTCTACTGCCTGGGTTGGTATATGTTATCAATTTCTCTGTGTCTTGCAAAAACAGGTTTTTTAATTTTCTCCCACATCGCAACAGAGAGTTTTGTGTCCTTATAAGGAAAGTCAACAGCATGGACCTGAATTTGTTATAGGGTCTAATGCATAAATAAGTGCATGTGAGTTTTTTCACATTCAAATACAAAAAATAAAATCCTGTGTATTTGAAGGCATAAAACTATAGTGTGTACAGACCACAGTTTTTATTTGTCTTCTGAAAAATTAATTCTGGTGAAGAAGTAGCTTGCTTTCTATGGCAATTGAAGATCCTGCACATAATAAATTTTCTTTTGAGGAAATCTTTTGCTGCTCAAAATTGCTGAAATCTAAAAGTTACCTGTTTAAAAACATGTTTTGTTTAAATACGACACCACTAAACTTAGGGAACAGAGGCCTTTGCTTCAGAACTACTTATTTTAAATTGCTGTCTTTTTAATTCTGTGTGTTTAGAATAGTTTCTCTCTCATAAGCTCCTTTTATAGTCTGAAGAATATTCCAGGGACTGGTTTCAGTTTCCTGAGTCCATATTTTATATCCGTATTACAAAGTTTTATGTTTGCATTTGGTTTGGTTTTTTTTTGTTTGTTTTTTTTTTTTTTTTTTTTTTGTTTAATAAAGAAAACGGGAGCTGCAAAGGCAGACTATTTCTATACAACAGTAATTATCATCTAGGAGAGCTCTTAGAGCTTTGTTTATTGACCTTTTGTTTCTGTTGTTATAAAGTAGACTTGAGGTGTGGTTTCAAATCAATATGAAACATTCCTTTAGCCTTTAAGATAAAAGGGGACAGCTTCTCTAGCAGCGCCTTTTATGATAAGACAAGGGTAAATGGCTTCAAATGAAAAAAGAGGAAATTTAAACTGTATATAAGGAATAAGGGTAGTGAAGCACTGGAACAAGTTATGCGGAGGTAGTGAATAACTTGTCTCTGTAGACATTAAAGGCCAGGCTGTTTAGGCCTCTGAGCAACCTGATGTAGCTCTTGTTCTCTGCAGGGGAATTGCACTATCACAGAATCACAGAATGGCCAGGGTTGGAAGGGATCTCAAGGATCATGAATCTCCAACCCCCCTGCCACATGCAGGGCCACCAACCTCCACGTTTAATGCTAAACTAGATGACCTTTAAGTATCCCTTCCCACTCAAATGATTCTATGTGTTGTTTTTTTTTTTAATTATTATTTTACCCTGTAATGTTTATATAGGTAGGTTAGTACTATGGCTTTTAAAACACTGCATGAAATAATTGCTGTCAAGATGTATGCTTTTTGTTTGGAAGAGCTTAAAATAACCATATTGTTCTGTGTTCTAAATATCCAGTGTTTTCTTTGAAGTCAACAGCACTGAAGCTATTAGATATTGGAAAATATTGGTAGTTTTTATAATTCCCTGAACCGTCCCCTACGGATGGATATCACTTGTTTCGCTGGCAACTGAATTTCTGCTCTTTCAGATCCTCTTGACTGCTAGGCTCCTGGTAAAGCCTATATGGTGTGTTCTCTGAAGCGAGGAAGTCCAAATCAATTGTTCACTTACGTTATTTTAAGTTTGTACCAGGATACAATTATTAAGAAACTAGAGCCATGATTCCCTAAAGAATGGCTTTGGTTCAAGCAGTTCAGATGTACAGCACACAATCACTACCCATTATTAGCTTGTACTTAGTTTTTGAGGGACTGTATAGAAACTTGAGAAGGCTAAAAGGGGTTTGTGGTTGTCATAACCATGTCCAGGTTGGAATACTCTAGGTAAAAACAAATTGCAAGAAATTGAATGTGACTTTTGAGACTCTAGAAGATAAGGACTACTGTAAAAGAAGGATTTGCAAGTCTTGAGTAAGTGCACAAAGTCTTTCAAAGCTCAATAATCTGTATTTCATTGATAGTCTTCTACAGAAAGCTGATTTTAGTAGAACTGACTTTGTGGTCATCTGTTAATCTTTGTGTTGTAGTGTCTCTAAAGAAAACGTGTTTCAGGGGGATATTTTGAAGGCCTAATTAACATTATATTACTCCCAATTGTAGCTGTAGTTGCTCAGAAATACTTGGGCTGCAGTGTAGTCCATTTATTCTGCTATGCTAAGAAATAGGATCCAGCTCTGAAATGTTTTAAGTCAGCAGGTGTTGAAGGCATTAATGCCTGTTGGACAACTTAAGCTTCTGATTTAAAGTCTTGTGTGCTTTTCTTTTTAAGTTTAAGTTACCCAGGGATAGTTCACTTGCACCCCACTCACTTCTCAGGGATAGAATGTAACTTTGAGGTTCAGAGGTGTTTCCTGCTTACCAGCTTGGCTAACAACTAGTTTGCTTTGCTGCAAGCTAGCTTTACCCATTTAATTCCCATGCTGAAGAAAGATGGGATGGGTGGGAGAGGAGAATAAGGTTGGTGTTCCTCTGTCTGGAAAAAATATTGTTTTTTTCTTATTGTGTTTTTAGGTGTGCCCACAATCTGAAACAACTAAGTCATTGGTTTTGAGAGCGTGTCAGAAGAAGCGATGTGATTCTCACAAGCTTCAGAATCGGGATGTCAGCTATGGTTTGCTTCGTGCAGAGACAGCTTGTCGAAGATCTGTGGCCTGCAAATTTCCTCCCTTAATTTTTGAGAATTCAGAAGTATGTTCAGTCCGCTCCACAGATATGCTGAGTCATGCAGGAAAGAACACACAGCATTCTCACATCCAGTGCAAGAAAGGGATAGGATCCAAAGCTAACATCCAGGTGAATGGTTCTGAGAACTGTAGTGAAACGCCATCATTACCTATTTCTCAGCCTGTAGGGCCAGCAGTCTTCAGCCCACTAGATATGGGGATGCCACAGTTGCCTTCTTTAAGGAACTGCACATGCAGCAGTGCTCTGCCACAAATCAGTAGTCATGCTGAGTTGGTGTCCAGCGTCAACCACTGTGGGAGGGAGCAATTGGCAGAAACACTAGTTATGGATACTCCTGAGCGTGAGTATGGAATAAAGGTCACCTGGAGGAATCGGCCTCATCTCCTTAAGTACCTGAGAGACAGAGGGAAGCTGAGTACTGCTGACATACTGGTAAAGGCACACCTTGAACTCTAGAAGTCAGGGTGCCTCCTGATTGGCAAAACAGTAATTTTATGCGCAAGGACTTGCCTAAATACAAAACGCTCTTTTCAACGATAAAGAGGGGCAATAGCTTAAGCTATACATCGTGCTAGGGCATGCTAATTCTATGTCGTAGCAACGCGTAGGGTGCACCTTGTTCTCAGGGGGTGAGTGGCACTTTTTTTTTTTCCGGACTCATCTTCCTTGCAGAGGGTGGGGGAAGGGAAGTAAGTGCAACGCGTCTTCCCACCCACACACCTCCCGCGATCCAGACTTTAGCGCCCTGCGCCACCAGGACAACTGGCGGGCTTGGGGGGAAGGGGGGAGGAGGCGGGGCTCGGCGCTGACCTGGCTGCCTCTTGTGCGCATGTGCGGTTCGAGTTCTTGCCAGCTGAGGGAGCGCAGCCGCCAGTCGTGGGGCAGTGTGCTGTGCCTTCGGCCAATGGCGCAGGGCTTAAGTTACGAGTTCCGTCGCCGAGGGTAGCGGTGAGGCCGAGGCAGGGTGCGTCGGCCGAGGTCCTACAGTAAAGGAGGGGCTGAGGATGGAAGGCGCGCGGAGCCGATGCGGGCTCAGTGGGGGCAGGTGAGTGGGGCCCAGCGCGGCAAAGCGGGCGCGAAGCGGTCTGCGACGAGTCCCGTCCCAGGTTGCCCCTGCGTCTCGGTGGGGTCGGCCCGATGCGGTAGGTGCGATGCGGTGCGCTGCTTCCCCGCTTCCAGCTTCTTGCGGGCGGGCGCGGCTTTGGTTGAGGCAGCGTCTCCGGGAGAGAAACCACTGTGAACGTTTTTTTTTTCTTGCGCTTCTGATCGTAGTTGAGTTTTTGAGATGTGAAAGCGCTAGCAAGCTCTTAGGCATCTGAGTGGGGGGAAAAAAAAAAAAAAAGGAACAGCTAAAGGGAGCTTAACTGACGTAATGGGAAAAGCATGTTAAGTTTGGAAGAGAGATTTTTGGAAGGAGATTAGCTGGAACCCCAAATTACTGAAAATTCCAATGTGAGGATGCAGTGAAAAGAGACTTTGACAACGTGATTAGGGAAGTGATTGTGAAAATGCAGAAAAAGAACTATTTTGTGCCTCTGATGTTTGGATACACGATGTAAAAGCCAGTAAAGAGAGAAACAAAGGAATGTGTAGTGGTTGAGTTATGGTAAAGCCCACGTAGGACAAAACCCATATTTGTTGATGGAATAGACTTGGTATTTTTTAGTTGGAGAGTGAAAAAAGGCATTAGAATTTGGTGGCATCCTGTGATCTCTTGGGTCAGCCAAATATGCTGTGAAACACCAAAGTCAGCATAAAGAAGAAATCTAAAGCAAGTTCTGTTCTGAAATAAGTGAACAAAAAAATAATGGCTACATACCCCAAAATTTTCTGGCATAGATATTAGACTTTAAATTTTGACAGAATTGAAACTACAGGAGAAGATTCTGCTTTTCTGTTAACAATTGTGATAATACAATTTCTTTCTGCTATGGAACTTGTTTTGTATACTTTCATGGATGTTTCACAGAAAAAGCTGAAGAGTAATGCAATTTCATCTGCTAGCTGCTTCTCCCATAACCCCAGTTTATTAAACAATTTCCTTAACTTTCTTAGTTGCAGTGATTAATGTAAGAATACTAGAATACAAACACCTAAATAAATGTACATAGTTTCTAAGTAGATATTTAAGACCTTTTGTTGAGTCTAAGGAACCAGTTAGTCAGTATTTTTGTTTTTTCTTCCTGAAATGAAATACCCTTGCTATTCAGCAATATGTAAGATATGTTGAGACATAAATAATTTTATTTGATGGATAGGTATGTGAGATTTTGGGTTAGGCCCCTTCTAAATATATATTAATACTATGGTGTTGTGTTAACTTACTACTTCCCCACCAATGCTGTCTTTCATTTAAGAAGACTGTAATTAAAGTAGTAGCTAGAGTTCATTTTGAAGTCTGATTGACTTTCATCTAGATATGATGCGTCTCAGTGCTTTATAAAAATAATGTTGATTGTATTATTTCATTGTTTTGGTAAGTACTATGCATTTCTTTTTAATTTGGGGAAATCTGAAGCTAAAAGTGTTGGATAAAGTAGAGACATTCACATGAATTCACACTGAGATCATTGTAAGCATTTAAAAGGAAAGAAAGAAGGGAATTTGGCTCTTATCACAAAATCATATCGTAGAATGGCTTAAGTTGGAAGGGACTTTAAAGATTGTTTAGTTCCAACCCTCCTGCTACATGCAGAGTTGCTGACAGCTAAATTAGGTTGCCCGGGGTCCAATCCAACCTGGGCAATGTCTTGGGAATTGGGGTATCCACAGCTTCCTGGGCAACCTGTTCCAGTGCCTCACCATCCTGAGTAAAGAATTTCTGCCTAGCATCTAACCTAATTTTCCCCTCTTTTAGTTTAAAGCTTGTCTTATCACTATCAGACCATGTAAAAAGTTGTTTGTTATTTCCCCCTCCTGTTCATAAGCTCCTTTCAAGTACTGGAGGGTCATAATGAGATGTCCCCAGAGCCTTCTCTTCTTCGAGCTAAGCAAGCCCAGATTCTCAATTTTTCTTCATAGGTGAGTGCTCCAGCCTTCTGCCAATCTTTATGGCTCTCTTCTGAACCTCCTCCAAGATCTCTGCATCTTTATTGTGCTGGGGGTCTGAGATTTGGATGCCTCACAAAGGCAGACTAGAGGGGAGCAGTCATCTCCCTTGTCCTGCTGGCCACCCCTCTGTTGATGCAGCTTAAGATACTGTTGGCTTTCTGGGCTGCAAGGGCATGCTGTTGGTTCGTGTCCAGCTTTTGGTCCACAAGGACCCCCAGGTCCTGCTCAGCTGAGCTGCTCTCAATGACTTCGCCCAGTCTATGCATGCCATATGTCAAGGATTGCACTGATGCAAGTGCAACACCTTGAACCATTCCATATTTGGAAGACCTTAGTATAGGCTATCAGGAGTGTTGGGCTTGACTGTTTTATATATATGCATGTAAACTATAGTTTTTTTAGGAAGAAGCAGTTAACTGCTAATAATTATCATCGCTAATCTGTAATCCAGACAAGACTGAAATCCTAAATTTCCTATTAGTCCTTGGGTATTTTTATTTGAATGCAGGTGACCTTCTTGAAATTAACAAGAATTTTTGTAAACTACAGGATAATTTACAATTGTAAAATTGTGCAGGTGTTATCCTTAGATAAAAGAGAATTGACTTAACATTTTATTTGCACAATCCCTTTCAAGTCTGAGCATTAACCAAAAACTCCATCTCAATGTGATACATTGGTAAATATAGAATCATTTGAGTTAGAAGGCACCTTTAAAGATCGTCTAGTCCAGCTCCCCTGCAGTGAACAGGGACATCTGTAGTTCAGTTGGGTTGCTTAGAGCCCTGTCCAGCCTGACCTTGAATGTCTCCAGGGACAGGACATCCACCACCTCTGGGCAACCTGTTCTAGTACTTCATTACGTTATTGTAAAAGAAAAAACAAAACAAAAAAAAACAAAAAAACAACAACAACAAAAGAAAAAAACACCAAAACCTTACTCTTTATATCCACTCTAAATCTGTGCTCTTTTAGTTTGAAACAGTTTCCCCTTGTTCTTTGACCACAAACTCTGCTAAAGAGCCTGTCCCCTTCTGAAAGGCCTCTATCAGGTCTCCCCAGAGCCTTCTGTGTGCTGAATAGCCCCAGCTCCCTCAAACTTGTCATCACTGGGACATCAAGGGACATCCATCCCTTGGATTATTTTTGCAGCTCCCCTCCAGATACTGCAACAGGCTCATGTTTCTTTTGTACTGAGGACTCATATCTGGATGCAGTGCTTCAGGTAAGGTCTCACCTGCTCAGAGTAGTGGGGCAGGATCACCTCCCTTGTCCTGCTGACCATACTTCTTTGGATGCAGCCTGGGATAGGGTTGCACATTGCTGGCTCATGTCCAGCTTGCCATCTATCAGTACCCCCAAGTCCTTTTTATCACAGCTGTGCTCAATGCTTTCATCTCCTGGCTTGTATCAATAGTGGAGGTTGCCTTGGTCCAGATGCAAGACCTTGCACTTGGCTTTGTTGAACCTGTCTAGGTGTTACTGATTTCCATCTGGACACTGATCCATTGACCACCATGCTCTGAGTACGATCTTGCATTCAGTTTCTCATCTATTAAGCCATCCACCCATCAAATCTGTCTTTCTGTGATTTAGAGAAAAGGTTGTAATGGGAAACTGTGTCAAAGGTCTTACTGAAGTATAAACAAGGTAAGTGGCCCTTCCCTTCTCCACAGATACAGTTGCACCATCAGAGAATCTCCAAGGTTGTCAGACCTCCAAGATCATCCAGTTCAACCTACCGTCAATATTTCTTCTGTAAACTGTATCTGTTACTACAACATCTAGATGTTTATTAAACATTTCTGGGGACAGTGACTCAACCACCTCCCTGGGCAGTTTGTTCCAGTGCCTTACTGCTCTTTCAAAGAAGAAATTTTTCCTAATATTCAGCTGACACCTTGAGGCCATTCCCTCTAGTCCTATTGCTAATTATGCTGGAGAAGAGGCTGGTCCTCCCACTCCCCCCACCCTCCAACTTGCCACGGCCTCCTTTCAGGTAGTTGCAGAGAGCTATAGGTCCCTCCCTGAGCCTCCTTTTTTTTCAGACTGAACAATCCCAGTTCCCTCAGCTGTTTTTCGTAAGACTTGTGTTCCAGACCCCTCATCAACTTCATTGCCCTTCTCTGGACATGCTGTAAGGGCCTCAATGTCTTTTTTAATTTTTTTTTTTTTTTTTTTTTTTTTGTAGTGACAGGCCCAAAACTGAATACAGTACTTGAGATGTGACTTCACCAGTGCTGAGTTTAAAAATAAATAAATAAAAATTATAAACGGCCACTAGCTTTGTCAGGTGGAATTTATCCTTAGTGAAGCCATGCTGATTGCTTGATATCGCTTCCTTCTCTTCCGTGTTTCTTAGCATAGCTTCTGGGATATTCTGTTCCATGAGCTTTCATTGCAAAGAGGAGCGCCTGCCAGCTCTGTGCCATACCTACCTTTAGGCCCGGCTCTGCTTCCCGTAATTGGTTGCGCAGGCACAGGTCTGCTGGTCTGTTCTGTTATGGGAGCTTTCGCTGGAGGCGAGTGACACAATGAGGCGTAGTAAGACAATGCTGTGGCAATGCCTGGAGGCCCGGGCCAGTCCTGCTGAAAGTGTCACCGGCTTCCCTGCCTCCTCCCACTGTACGAGGGAGGGCCGAGTGGCAGCAGCCCGGCGGTGACATGCGCCCACATACCATCATAATCCTGCACTAGTTACCGTTAACCCCAGGGACATCTGCTTCTACATGGAGACCCTG